CTCTCTAATTACTTAATTGGAGTTTTTGAGGCTTTTTAAATGTAGGAGTTTTTCAGCTCCCATTTACACAATTTAGATAATTTACGGGGTAGGCTTCCGATCCTGTCTATCACGTCCAACCTGGGCTACTGGACTCTTAATCGTGAGGTTGCGTGGTCGGGGGTTCGAGCCGCGGACCAGACGTTGTGTCCTTACTTGGGAAAGGCACTTTACATAAATTTTCCTCACTTCACTCAGGTGGAAAATGGGTACCCGGCCATAGACAGCGAAAGTTAGTCAGCGTGTTAATGTTTTAGCGCCTATAAATGGGTGCTTGCACTGAATGCTTCCTAGGAAGTTGAGTTTGCTTTAGAATGCTCTCAGGTCTGCTGGGGTAATAGTGTAGATGTGAAGCGCATAGATCTCGCTGTTGAGCGGGGATTTACGCTATACCAAATGCTATCTACATCATCTCAGTAGCAAGACCGAGGTACCCGAGTGAAATGTATCCCCACTTGGGAATTGAAATTGGGCCTTCTGCATGCGACAGGGAAGCGCCTTGCCCCTACAGCATAGACACCGGTGCCAAAAAGTTCCTCTAACGCACAATCTATTTCTATGGGTATGACGGCTTAAGGGGGGGGGGGGGCTACACCTGAAGACCATCTCGCTTCTTAGTGGACTAGATTTTACCATATTTCACACATATAAGTGACTTCGCTTTAATGTTAAGTTGTTCACATTTGAATCATCAAAGGAATGCAATGCTTAATCCATTAAAAAGAGGTATGTGCACAATCTGTTCTATTTCATCATAGAAACTTTATTTAATAAATGAGGGCTTTCTGTGATGTGATGTGGGCTGATGGCCTGAAGAACTGGCCAAAATATGAAATATGAGACATTGTGAGAAAATCAGGCGCTTACCAAAATAATGAATTAAAAAAAATTATTTCATTTTCTCGTCCGTTTCCTTTTTGGCTCAGCCCCTTTCACGTTCCTTAAAAAAACAACACATTTTCGTGTGGATTTTACTGAAAAAAATGTTGATTTAAGTCAAACGAATGCAAAGTGGCAGTTTTCAAGGACTCTCAAGCGTTGGAAGTCACCAAACTTTGGCGGTCATTTTTTCTCTCACTTCTGGCGACCCCACCTAATTCAATTGCAAATATCTCAACTTCTACTCAAAATAAATGAACATTTTTTCTTCAAAAGCGAGACAATTGAACACACTTTAAGATGATACCAATGATACCAACAACTTTACATGCCCAAAAATTGACGAACGCCAGTTTGGTCATGGAACATGCGGTTAAAAAATATAGATAGCCTTTGTGTAGCGCAAATCACCGCTCAACAGCAAGCTCTATGCGCTTCACAATCTATACTATTACCCCAGCTGACCTGAGAGCTTTCTGAAACAATCTCAACTTCCTGGGAAGCATACAGCGCAAGCGGCTATTTATAGGAGCTAAAGCACTAACATACTGACAAGATCTTTCGTTGTCTATCGCCGGGTACCCATTCCCATCAGGGTGAAGAGAGGAAAATTCGTGTAAAGTGCCTTTCCCAAGGATGCAACGTCGGGCCCACGTCTCGATCCCCAGAACCCGCAACCTCGCGATTACGAGCCCGGTAGCCTAACCACTAGGCCACCGACGCCACTAAACCAAAGAGTCTACGTAACAAGAGGGGCCACTTCTCTCTTTGAGCCAATTAAAAAAGTGTCCTCAAAATTCGGTGGCGCCCTCTTCGCAAAAAGCGCACCTTTTGCGAACAGAGTTATCCTACTTGAGTTTTAAAAAATCAAAGTTTAACTAGCAAGTATTTGAATGAATTTCGGAAGAACGCTTTTTAAAAAATGGTTACGCTGACAAAAAAACTCTTCCGGAGGAAGGGGTGATTGTTTTCTTCGTTTAATTTGACTTTAGAATGAAAGGCGAGAGGTCTTTAAAATAAAAAAACCCCTAAAGCTCCGCACTGAACGAACCCGAACTGCTGATGAACAGCAGTCCATCTGCGCACGCAAGGAGGTGCTATTCCTATTCTTCTTCTGGAAAAACGAAAGAGAGCTTCAAAACAGACCGCAGCGCCATCTGAAACAAAGAGCGGACTTCCAGTGGACACTTTTTGGGCTGAGTTGACCATCTTGTTATGTACTATCTTTGCCAGAGTTCTGGATCTACATTATGCGATTGGTGTTAAAGGCATGAGAGGACAAAATAATTCCCACTACTGTAAACTAAACGACAACTGATGGTCTAAAATGCACTTTAAAAAAACACCGTTTTCCAAATATTTTGAGATCATTTTTTTTTTTTGCTTGAAGAAATTTGAAAATAGGTTTAATGGTATATTACATATCAGCCTTCAGCTTGAAGAAATTTGAAGTTAGTTTAACAGGATAATATGATCTTTATTATAGTTACGTGAATTCACCTTGCTGTCTCTGCTTTCTCAAGAGAAGAAGGTACTCTGTTATCGAGGAGACGAGGAGGATCAGCTCTCAGACTCTGCCGTATGATACATCTCTGTTTGTCGGCTTTTTTATAAGCCTGAATCTGGGCTTGTCGTGACCCACTGTGCCAGATTTAGATCTGAGGCCAAGTCGATAAGAAAGATCACAAAGGAGTTCACAGCAACTATTTCTGGGCGGTCGAAAAATTCGGTACAAGTTTTTTAAAAGTATGAGAAGAATTCTTCGATCATCTGAGTAAATCTACATCTGCCACAATAGATAAGAAACATAACGCATTATGTCTTTTATTTGACCACAGTACGTGTTCTTTATCTGGCCGACCCGACCTCCCCCCTCAGCCCCCAAAAACCCACCAAAAAACAACAACGAACAAACAAACAAACAAACAAACAAACAAACAAACAACAACAACGAATTAATTACTAGGTCACTTGCAATCTGTTACCATCGGCACACTAGTCCGTTGGTGCTCAACTCTAAAGAGACTTTCATCTTCCGCGGTCTTCGCTCTGTTGTATTGTTTCATAAACTTGTAGACCACTGTGGGATTTTTACGTTTTCAGTGTGTGATGTTGTTTGCATGACCAAGACACGAGTCTCTTTTCGCTGATCACCAAAAACATATCATGGTATCGGAGAGCAACTGGAATAATAAAACTAGGAAGACCGGCTGGAAGCTATAGAGGCCCAAATAAGGGATGAGACAATAACCCAGGGCCTGGATGTGTCGAGATTGGAGAAGGTGGCCAGGGACAGACAAGTGTGGCGTCAACTGCTCTCCGCCTTATGTACCTGACGTTATAGGGAGACAGCAAGTAAGTAAGTAAGTAAGTAAGTAAGTAAGTAAGTAAGTAAGTAAGTAAGTAAGTACGTAAGTAAGTAAGTAAGTACGTAAGTAAGTAAGTAAGTAAGTAAGAAAGTAAGTACGTAAGTACGTAAGTACTTAAGTACGTAAGTAAGTCGTCTTATTCATCGTTGAGTTTCAACTGTTCGATTTTTGTGGTTTGTTTCCTTAGACTCTGTATGTCAAAAACTGCCAAAGGCAATTATTTAAGGGGCTAAAGTTAGAGTGAATGTGGTACCCATTCATTTGTGCATTTTCGGCTTATAAGACGTTCCCCAATAATTTCTTGCAACCATATCAGGGCCACTCTTACACCAATTTTCATGAAAGTTTGATGAAATAATATTCAGGTACGAGGACGTTGTATTTGTCAATATTTAATCTTATCCGTACGTCATGTTTTACTATCGTATCCGTACGACGTGGGGAACTCTGCGCCACAACTTTCCAAAGAGGAAATTTACACGTTTATCCGATCCGTACGCTTTTTAAAACTTATATAGTAGAGGGTTTTACGGCTCTCACAACTGCGTAAGGTCATATAAGCGCCAAGGGGTGGGTATCAAAAGAGAAGTCTTTACAGGGAATCAGACTTAGACTGCTCACCTCTCTAGCTTCAAGAGCACAAGGTCTGCTTCGACTATCAAGGCACCTCGGAAACAGCAGGTCACCAGAGAGTGACAAACATACAAAAGAAGTAGAGGAAAATGACAATAGAAAGGATCAGGAATTAAAAAGCAGCAGTTCGCTGTTGTAGATCAGGCACAGTTATGAGCGTGACATGAGTCAGCCCATATAAAATTCTACTATTCTTGAACGAGAAATGTCCCCCCTTTGGGAATGACCTAAAGACACTACAGTCAGTGGCACTGCCCCGGGGGGTAGATCCGTACGCTTTGCTTAGCAGTCTGTCAAAATGATTTTTTTGAGAAATACTGAAAGTTTCAAATAGGTTTTCGTATTAGAAGTATTCTAAAATGTGAAGAATGCAACCCCGGGGTACAAAATGGCCCTAGGGCGTACGGATGGGTTTAAAAATAAGTTCATTTGTTCGAAAAATGCCAAATTATTTTTAAAAAATAAAAAAAATCCAAAATTGAATGAAATGTAAAACTTTGCAACTTCTTAAAAATCAACCTCATTGTTCTACCTCAAATAGCCTCTATTTGTTCATTGAAGAAAAAATTAATACAGAACTAACATTGCTATTTAAAACTCTAGATGTAGACCATTAATTCTTTCCATACAGGATCCAATACGCCACTGGACATTTTTATAACCTTGTGGCATTTTCTGGGTCGATTATTTCTTTCGACGTCGTCCTATTCAGTATCGAGTTTCAACTGTTCGCTTTTTTGTGTGGGTTGTTTTGCTAGACTCTGTTTGTCAAAAACTGCCAAAGGTAATAATTCGAAGGGGCTCAATGTAGGAGGAATGTGGTACCCATTCATTTGTACATTTTCAGCTTTTAAGACGTTCCCCAATCATTTTTTGCAACTATATCAGGGTCACCCTTACACCAATTTCAATAAAAGTTTGCTGAAATAATATTCAATTATGAGGACGTTGTATTTGTCAATATTTGAAAAAATCAGTTCATTTCTTCGAAAAATGTCAAATTATATCCAAAAAAAAAATTAAAAAAAAATCAACCAAAATTGAATGAAACGCAAAACTTTGCAACTTCTTAACAATCAACTACATTGTTCAACTTCAAGTAATCACTATTTGTTCATTAAAGAAGTATTATTACTTAACTAACATTGCTATTTAAAACTCTAGATGTAGACCATTAATTCTTTCCATACTGGATCCAATACGCCACTGGACATTTTTATAACCTTGTGGCATTTTCTGGGTCAATTCTTTCTTTCGACATCGTCCTATTCAGCATCGAGTTTCAACTGTTCGATTTTTTGTTTGGGCTGTTTTGCTAGACTCTGTTTGTCAAAAACTGCCAAAGGTAATAATTGGAAGGGGCTCAATATAGGGGGAATGTGGCACCCATTCATTTGTACATTTTCAGCTTTTAAGACGTTCCCCAATCATTTTTTGCAACTATATCAGGGCTACTCTTACACCAATTTATATAAAAGTCTGCTGAAATAATATTCAGTTATGGGGACGCTATATTTGTCAATATTTAACCCTATCTGTACGTTGTGTTTTACTATCGCATCCACTCGACGTGGGGAACTCTGTGCCCCAACTTTCCAAAGAGGAAATTATCTCGTTAATCCGATCCCCGAGTTAGGGGGAAATGCGGTACCCATTCATTTGTACCTTTTCGGCTTACAAGGCACACCCCCATCATAATTTCTTGCAACCATATCAGAGCTACATTTGATGTGTGAGTTGTGGTCCCATCCCTATCCCACTGAAACCGGGCCTGTACAGAATAACACTTTCTCCCCAAACTTCTACAACAAAACTTTCTCGGCACGTGTAGACATCTAGATCTATCTGAGACAACTGTTGTTGTTCTTTTACCGTCCGTGTCCTGAAACCAGAACGAGCCGATCAAGCCCCCCCCCCCCTGTAGCTGAACGCTTAAGAAAAAGTTTGTGTTTTGCCCAATTTGGGTTGGAATTGTTATGTACAATTTTGGTTGAAATTGTTATACCCAATTTTGGTTGAAATTGTTAAAATTTGATATTTCTCAAAAGCGTCAAATGATTTTCTCCGTATTTACAAATAATAATAATAATAATAATTATTGTAATGACAATAACAATAACAATAATAACAATAATAATAATAATAATAATAATAATAATAATAATAATAATTATAGCAATAATAACAATGATAATTATAATATTAATAATAATAATAATATGAATTATAAATTTCGAGGAATATTGTATCCTTCTTAGACAGGGTTGGCCTTGATAGGTAAGGTCGGAAGCCCGCCTCCTAAATGATCTTAATATTTGTTTCGTTAGTGGAAAGAAAACGCCTACATTAAAAAAAGACTCCTTGAGAAGTAGTTTTTAAGGCTCTAGTTTTTAAAAACTTGCATTTATTCTTTTTCTTTTTTTAAGTGTCGTAAAAATCTTACTTTAAAAAAAAGACAAACTCTCCCCCCCAAAAACACAGACCTTCGTAAGTAGGGCAACCCCAAAAAACCCCCAAACAAACAACACAAAAAACCCAGACCAAAGTCAAATCTTTCTTATCAGAAATCTGTTCACTTTTTTTTAAAAAGGCTGTCACATGTCACAGTCTGTATGCCTACAATGGTATATTCTTTTTGGGGCAGTGACTACATTTCTTTTTTAATTTAAGAAATCCGTTATGTGTGTGTGTGTGTGTGTGTGTGTGTGTGTGTGTGTGTGTGTGTGTGTGTGTGTGTGTGTGTGTGTGTGTGTGTGTGTGTGTTTACGTCATTTAATCATCTATTTTCACTTTTTAATCATCTTTTTGCATTCAGTATATTATATACTTTTAGTCAGAGTTAATGGTGCCATTCGCGGTCGCGTGTTATCACACGAGGAAAGAATAGGGGAATAATTTGATATAACATTTTCTTCACCTAATGCTAACTGGTCTGTCTTTCCCTCTCTTTAATTGTAGCCTATAAAATGTACTATCTCTTTAGAAACTAGAACTTCTAATGCCCATGATATCTGAGTTGTTGCTGGACGCAATTTTGTTTCTGATCCTCCAATACTGTGTGTGTTGCTTTGTGTGTGTGTGTGTGCGTGTGTGTGTATATATATATATAATATGTATATATATATATATATATATATATATATATATATATATATATATATATATATAATATATATATATATATATATTATTGATGAATTTGCTGTTACTTTTTTAAGAAGAGGCAACCCTGTAATTCTGTGGTTGACTGGGCATGATTTTTCAGGCTTTTTCCATGTTCCGACGATCACAGAAGTGTCTCGGTGTCGGTGGCGAATGCCGACAGCAATAACTTGTAAGCACACAATTTCAGAGTCTGAAATGAAGTCCTGGAACCATTCGTGGGGGACGTTGACCAATATTGCCCAAAACAGACAGAGCTGGAGATCTTTTGTTGCTGCCGTAAACGCCAGATGGCATGACGGGTAGCAAGTAAATAAATACACAAGTTAAACTTGACGTGTTAATTTTTTGTTAGGGAACGCAAACGCAACTGTATTGACGATGAAAAATATTACAAAAGTTATTGGCCACACTCCTT